GAACAGTTCGTCCCTACACCTTCGGGTGATTGTTCTTGTTTGTACTCCTTCGGGATGTTTCCCCTGAATGCCAAAGTGAAGTTTTGTTACTTCGAGTAAGCCTTGGTTGTAATTCAGGTTACGCTGCAGAAGGCGCCCTCGGGGCAAACCTCTGTAGTATTTTTGGGAATGACTAGTGCCTGAGAATTCAAACTCGTCAATAGACTGTTATGGTGTGCCACTGGATCTTTTCTCAGTTGAGTTTCTCAGTTCAGACCTGTAGTCTCTGCGCGTTTTGTGAGTTGAGTGTGTTGTTCACCGCGTGTGAGTGACTTCGGTTTGACGAAGATACCGCATCCAAAGTAGGAAGTCCAACCCGGGTGCCCAGCGCTAGTAGAAACTAGTGGAAGGGTTGTAAAAGCCGGAGTTGGGAGTCACTACCTGCAGATTCGCTGAATGTACTCGTGAGAGACTTTCCCCTTGAAATCTTAAGTAGAGGTCCTAACCGACCTCTGAGTTGTGTTTCTATAGTTTCAGGTGTGTGTTGGGGTGAACTACGCTGCACTGTGCTTCCTCCGAGTTGAGCACTTGCAGTATTTATGGGAGTGATAGTTGCCTGAGAATTCAAACTCTTCAATAGTCTGTTAAACGTGATACTTTGTACTCTGTGTGTTGACTCTGTCCCTGTGAGTTCGACCTTTTTGCTGCTATACTGCAGTTTTAGCCTTTGGTGGGTTATTACACTCCTGTGAACTTAACACTCTACAAACGCCACATTGGAAAGCTTCTTTACTTAACCCGTACGCGACCTAATATTGCATTTGCAACCAATCAGGCAAGTAGGTATATGCATGAACCCTAGGAACTTCACCTTGGAGTTCTTAAAAGTCATCTTACGTTACCTTAAGAGATATCTCTCATATGGCATTTTCCACATTAATGGGGAGGATGACCATCTTGAGGGATATTTAGATGCCAACTACGCGGCAAACCTTTCACAAAAGCATCTCCACTAGCGTCTACCTTGGGATCCCCACCAGTATCGTGAAACTCCAAGAAAAAAAGTTCCACTTCTCCTTCCAACTGCAAATTCGAATATATATGAACCGATTTGGATTTGAAGATTGTTAGAAGAAATTGGACGTTACACTTTGAATGCCATCCGGATTGGTGTTGATAATGAGAGTGCTATCAAATTAGCCAATAATACTATTTTTCATGATAGGACTAAGCATTTCGAAGTCGACTGGAACTTCTGTAGACAAAAGGTAGAAACAGGTGATATTACTGTAGAATATATACCCACAGACATGCTCACAAAAACCTTGAGCTCGTAATAGTTGCAGAATGGATGAGAAGTATTTCAGTCAGCTGCAAAGAAGAAAAACAAGAGGTGGAGTATATTGTAAATCTATAGTGAGTTGAAAATTTGTTTCCTTCATTTTAAGTGAAAAGATGCAGGTGTCGAACAGCGAGAAGAATATCAGGATTCGCCACTACAGTCGTATCTGTGCAAGTATTTGGGCCAGTAAATAGTTCAGGAGAATTCCTGCTGTAGGATTGACAAATTGATTTGATATGCTAAGATAAGATACGGATTGAAAAATTGATATAAAATGTGAGATACTTATACATTTGTTCGCTCACGAATAAACTGGTTACAAGATTTGTTCATTTCTCGTTTCCTGTGCACATGATAACAAAAGGTTTCAACAAAGTGAACTCTGTATTAAAACTTTATACCTTTCTACTTATTGTTGAGCTTTACTTACTTCACATAGAAAATGTCACAAACTTTTGATACACAAACATTCATACCCGAGATTTTTCTTCACCTCTCTTCGGTCGCTTCGTGTGTATAAACAGATAAGTACTGCGGTAGCTTGATTGCGCTTGTACACTTATCAGCCAAATGTAAAAGGACCAGGACAGTAAATGTGGAGGCCCGTTTATCTGTTTGTTTGCTTTTTAGCGAGATGTTTACTTCAATTCAGCCTAGCCCATCTGAATAATAAGCCTGATCGCGCAGATTTGTGCGAGAAACGGAGAGACTGCTGTTACACACTGCAGTCTCACTCAAACGGATGAATACTAAGCCTTCGTGGTTGTATCTATGGACGCTTGGGGATGCATAAAAGCTATCTGACTTCGGAACTCATCAACCAGTCATTCGAACGACGTTACCCAGGAATTCTAGAGCATTGTCCTGAGTGGCGGCGTTCTTGTTCTTTCTCGAGGCGCCATCCACTCCAGACTCGGGCATTTTCCGAAGCTGCACCGAGCCCCGCCGCGTCCTCTGCAGATCCCTTCGCTGCTCGCCTTCTCCGCTTGCTTCTTCCTCGCGCACCGTCCTCGAGAACTGAAGCTCGATCGCTCGAACTTGGCTCGATCCTGAAGCATGGAAGCGGATTCGTGAGCGGGCTGTGGCTTTTTCGAGCGATGCATGAGCCCCTTCGAATCCGTCGAGCGAAAGGAGTGAGTGGGATAATCACGATCTCTCAGACCCGCGAAAGCTCCGGAATTCTTCGCCTCTCTTATCGCCTGCAACGAATATTTCAATTACGGGCACAAATCAGAGTCCCGTCGCTGCCTTCCAGTCTTCGGCCTTGTTTCCCAAATCTTCGCTCGCGATACTTTCTTGCCCGAGGAGGTGACTCGCCTTTTCCTGCGCGGTCCTCGACGCCATTCCATGGCAAGCTCAGACGGAAACAGCCTGGAGAGAGGGACCGCGGACATCATTCCTGGCTGTTTCCGTCTCGCTAGACCGCGTACTGTCGTCGAGGATGTGCAAAACAGGCGAGGCTGAGACACCATAATAGGAGAACAAACTGAGATGGAGTATTCCATCTGTGTTTACTTATTTTTATACCCACGACCACGATGATGATCCTTTCTTCGACGACCATCACGACCTCTGATTGCTCCGCTTTGGCACCGAACATGACGATGACCATGACGACCTCTCTTTGGTCCGCATCGTCAACGAACTTTGGCGACATCCATGACGACCTCTGTGATTGCTACCCTTTGGCGCCGAGCTGGACGGTGACCATGACGACGTCACTGTTTGGTCTGCCTGGGTCCCGAACTGCGGAAGCATGGAGCTGGCTTGATAAAGTTAATAAAGAGCGGGCATGCTCTTTCACCGTTGTACAGTACTTTCGATCCGGATTCTACGGTGGAGGAGTCTCCACTCGTGCAAATAATGCGGGAACGTGGTTGAAGGTTTCTCGATACAAAATTCAAGGAGAAAACACAATCGTCCGAAGGTATCGATACTCAGGCGTTATTGAGGTCAAGAGCTGATATCTGCTGGAGGATTGGCACAGTATCACGCGGGAATCTTGAACCTCACTGGGCATGTGGGTATGATTTCAGGGAATTCGTGCGGAGATTGCAACAGTCACCGAAAGTCTCAAGGATTTCAGCTTTTCATCTTTTGCCTGGAGGAGGAGATGGGAACAACAGCGCACTTGATCGAGGTGCAGGCATCTTCGTCAAACTCAGGGTGGTACATAAGCTAAGCTTGAACGGAGGCGAAGAGAGCACGATGGACTCCAGACGCAGAGACGAAGACAACGAGGTGGCTGGGTAGCTCTGACATTCTGCTTCAAAGTACGAATTATGTCTTAACCATTCCTCGAGACGAGATTTGATTTGACTCCTCGTCATCTTCAATCGTCTTGAGAATGAGTCATGTTGAAAAGAAGAATCGTTGCGAATTTCAGTCATCAAGTATCACGTGTCCGCCTGGATGTCCCCCGGGCGGAACGACATGCACATGTATGTAGGCTCGATGTTTCGACTCCGGACAACTGTACACGTGGCTCGAGGGGAAATGCTTACAACTGGCTGCTTTGAGCGACGTACCACGTGTCAGAATGCGAGGTGAACTGGAATATCGGTGGAGGATGTTACTAGGAGATGCCAGAATAGCGTCGAGAGCCGTAGATCTTCAATATCGAGTGCAGCTGACAAAGGTCCTGATCCCTTGCCTGAAACACTCCAGATGGTAACCGCAGATTACGCGTCCCGGAATGTTCTAACCTCACCTCACTTCATAGCAATTTGACAAGTGGGAGCGATGTCTGCAGGTATCGAACACAATGCCCAGAGCACTGCAGTCATATCTCTTCGTTTAGATACGCTACAGCGACTGTCTTATGATCCCTTTAGAATTTAATCTAACGAAAGCATGTGAGTTTCACATCTAGCGGGTAACATGGGGTTACGTTCCAATTGGTAGAGCAGAAAAGCGAGAATCCTCGTGTCGCAAGTTCAAATCTGGTTTCTGGTAAATTTTGGGAATAAAGAAACAAATTTTTCAAACCTTAAAAAGTATTCAAAAGAAATCTGAGGTTCTGAAGGCTTGTAAAATAGAGCTTAGAGTGTTGCTTATGAAGCTTGGAAAAAAACATACAATATTATTCTAGTTAAGTTTCAAATACAGATAAACTAGAGTTATTATAATGTTCAATAAAAATGATAAAGTTGACAATAACTTCGATGTTCACCCTTTATCTGTTTCTATAAATTATAGAAATTAATAAATCTTATAAGGTTTTTTCCCTCTTTAGAGTGTTCAAATAGAAGCTTAAATCTGAACAGAGAAAGAGTTATGGAGAAGAATAAACTGAACTAAGGTTGAGAAATTCATGTTTAAGTCTAGGAACAAATCCATCGTCTCTCTCTGTCACCAAAGTGCATGCCGGTCGCCGTTCTTCCTCGCTAGAAAACTTCACGGCTCACTCACAGGCTGGGTAAAATCTTGGCAACTCCGAAATCATGAATCGTAACTGGAGGGCGGATATCTTACTGGAGTATGGGTGCTCTTATTATATACGAGTCCAAACTTGCCAAATGTAGCCATCTGGTCGAGGCACGCGTGGAGGCCTAGCGAACATCGGCGTTGCATGCCTTTGAGTTTCATAAGGTTTCAGCCTGGACACGTGATTGGACTACACCCGCCAGACAATATATAAGCAACCTGCAAAGAGAGACTGAGCATCTGTACTCCACTCGCCATTCCTCTCGCAAATTGAGCTCTTCGCCTCTAACACTGCTCAAAATCTATCTACCGCAGTCAGTGAGGCTTTCCTTGCGTATTCAGCGCGATTGTGCAGAGCTCGTTGCACACTCTTCTCCTACAAAATGGCATCCATGACAGCCGCAACCACTTCCGCCCTGCAGGTAGGAAGCATCAGCTCAGTGTCCAGGACCACTGTTCCCAAGTCCGCATCCGTCAGTTTGGGATCGTCAGCAAGTCTGAGGGGCCTGAGATTGAGGGCTGCCCCCGCACCACGACTCCGATCGACCCAACCGTTCGCTATCCGTGCCGAGGATGGCTCAGGAATCGTGGACTCTGTCAAGGAAGGAGCCGATCAGGTTGCCAAGAATGTTCAGGATGGAGCCAACAAGGCTGGCGAAGTTGTCTCAGACGCTGCCTCAAATGTCAAGTCCGGAGCACAGAATGTCGTGGAAACCGTGAAGGACAAGGCTGGAGACTTGACCGGACAGGCCAAGAGCGCCAGCAAGGATCTCGGAAGCAAGGCTGAAGACGTCAAGGTACATTCCCGACCATACTTTTATTCTCGTTCTGTAACAATCCGGCTCTGCTGCAACTGTGTGTCCATGGTGTCCATGAATTAGCGTGATCCATCTCGATTCAGGGCTGAAATGGAGTGGCTGACCGCTTCCATTGGCGATTCCTCGGTGATTCGATTGATTAGGCTTTGAAAGTGAACGAAGGTGTTTTCCTGATCGTGATTGCCGTACACCTGTTTGTGTTTCAGGACAGCGTCAAGGAGGGTACTGACAAAGCTACCAGCAAAGCACAGGACGCTGGAAAGGATCTCCAGGGAAAAGCTGAGGATGCTACGTCGTCTGCCCAGTCGAGCTTTAAGGACGCTTCGAGGCAGGCAGAGGGATCCGTCAGAGATGTTTCGAAGTCTGCTCAGTCAGGATTAGACGACGCTTCGAGCAAGGCCAAGTCCGGTATCGATGACGCATCCAGGAAGACAGAGAAGGCCGCCAACGACCTAAAGAATTAGAGGGTGGAGCTCAATCTGTCGACAACGCCTGTGTCCTGAAACTTGTGCCATAGCCAACCATCAGATTTTGTATAATGTGTAGAGAACTTCCTGATAGAGATTCAGTCGACGCACGCTCTCCAATATCATCAGCTCCAGTAGCTTCTGCCTCAGCTACTGCGAACGGAGGAGATGCTGGACATTTAGATACTGGAGCTTTTCCTAATTAGGGATACATCACAAATTCATGCAACCTCTTTCGGGAGGCCACTTGTGAAATAGGTCCATCACATCAACTTAGCACAGCCATCAGCGGGTTATTTTCTGCTAGATGCTTTTTCTCAAAAAAAATTCTCAAATTTTTTGTATGTGCTTAGTACTGAGGCCAGTTTGTATTTATCCAGGCGAAATGTTGTGGACATGGGTAGATCTGCTGAGTTCATTGAGAGAGTCATTCCGTTTTTGGTGAAGAAACAGACAGTACTTGCACCAACTCTTCGAGTCATAAAAGCTCCCAGTTCAAGCCTTGACTAGTCATATTGACGAAGCTTTTGGTTGGAATGTGGAAGTGTGTTTTTGCACTGAGCAGTCACTGTGACAATTGTAAAAATTGTCCCTCTTTCAATTTATTACAGGATGATGTGTCCTTGTCACGCTTATCATAGTGCAAAACGTGCGGTCCAGCTTGCTCATGAAAGAATTGAAAACGAATTTGGTCAAAGTTGTATATGAGCGAAGAAATTAAATATTCGTTGGATTTCATTGAAAATTTACTAATTTCTACAATCCGTATCTTTCAAGAAATAATTGGTATAAAATTCATTGTTCCAAATACCTTCTCGAAAGAAATCTCATATTTCAACTTGCTGTCAAAATGACGATACATGACCCTTCTTCATCTGTATTCCATCAAAGACGTGATTAAATTTGGATTATGATACTGGTTCCATGAAACTCGTAGACATGGTCGGATGTTCCTTCCATGACTGTAGAGTCCAACAGATTCACACTGTTTCCGGTCTCTAATGATGAAATGCAGGTATCTGCAGTTTGTGGTAAACGTTCAATCACTCAACCCTGTGACACCTTAATCTACATTTCTCGTGAAGTTTCTAACCTTCATACGGAAAAAATTATAGGTCTTTCTCGTTACCACAAATCATCGTTAAAAACTTCTAGGGCGACGAATTATTAAACTTAAATGAACAAAGTTCCGTCATTGAGAAATATACGATTGAACATGAAGTCACTACTGCACTTGTCTTATACTGAAAAATCGAGCGTTCATAAACTGATCATGCAATAAACTTTACGTACATGATGGAAAATCTGAGAAATATTTTTAGGATTTTCACAGAAATAAGATCATGTCATCAAGTAACAACTTCCATTTTTGTGTACACTGAGTGTTGCATGAAGATTGCATGAAATCATGTGTATCGCGCAGGAACTAAATATATAGAAGTTCATTATCATTTTGTGAGAGAGAAGATCATATCAGGAAATATTGACATTCAACACGTTAACACCACAACCCAGCTTGCTGATATTTCACAAAATCTCTTGGAAGAGTCAAATTTGAAAGCTTTAGGAATAGGATAGGAGTAATGGGTCTAGAACAAGCCATGACATTGTCCAAATTATAAACTCTAGGATGTAACATTCCCAAGACACTCTATCAGTTTCTTATATGTCTGGTGCAAGAGGAGGTGTTGATGTAGTGTACCAGCCCGAGTAGTCGGTAGGGTTTAAGGTTATTGTAGGGTTAGGGTTTTTCAGTTGTTGCTTCTAGTCTCCAAGGTACGCCACCTTTTGGAGTTTGCTCCTCACTATGTTTTGATTTATATATATGAGCCTGTATTCAGAGCTCAGCATTCCTTGTGTTCATTTGCATTGCATTGCGGAATCATCATTTGGCAAGGTGAGTCCAAACTTCGGGCATATAGAAAGAATCTCCTCATTCTCTCTACTTGTGATTGCACGAAGAAAAAATGAAGGCAAGTTCAGTTCAAGAGTACCTTCGTGAAGACTACTCGGCCTAAACAGAATAAGGCCGAGGGTTCGGCCAAGGACACAGCAACTTCTGCCCGGTCAATAATAGACAAAGCTAGGGGGTTTAGGGTTTGTTTACCCTACAGTTTCAATTTGATCACGTGTAAGACATTTTAACCTTGCGGTCACTTTCGGAAAATTTGTACGCAAGATATTCTGTAATAGATTTAACAATCATGAGTGAACTCGCAGAACTAAGAGTGAGCATGGATTCAACACCTGTTTCTCGTATCAATCTCAGACTCATGCTAAGCCTTGAGGCATTTTTTTACCTTGTATCTAAACATCTCAGTGATTCAGAGTACTGGTACGCAGGCAAACACTCTTTCTACGCGGTTCCTGATCATTTTTCCTCCATCGTCGCTTCTGCAGACTTCTTGTAAACCTGTGACAGTGTGCGACCTTCACGGTTGAAGGCGATGAGCTCGTATACAATTTCCTCCAGCAAACGAGGCACTGATGATACTTCTTCCACTTTGTAAGAACGCATGGCTTGTAAACCTAGGTGGAAAAATTTCAGTGCTTGGCTCCGGAGCCAAGCGTCCTTCCCGCAGATGTGTATCTTCGGGCTCTACGACAATATCAAGACCACATCCTAAAAATATTTCTCAGACTTTCCATCATGTACGTAAAGTTTATTGCATGATCAGTTTATGAACGCTCGATTTTTCAGTATAAGACAAGTGCAATAGTGACTTCATGTTCAATCGTATATTTCTCAATGACGGAACTTTGTTCATTTAAGTTTAATAATTCGTCGCCCTAGAAGTTTTTAACGATGATTTGTGGTAAAGAGAAGACCTATAATTTTTTCCGTATGAAGGTTAGAAACTTCACGAGAAATGTAGATTAAGGTGTCACAGGGTTGAGTAATTGAACGTTTACCACAAACTGCAGATACCTGCATTTCATCATTAGAGACCGGAAACAGTGTGAACCTGTTGGACTCTACAGTCATGGAAGGAACACCCGACCGTGTCTACGAGTTTCATGGAATCAGTAACATAATCCAAATCTAATCACGTCTTTGATGGAATACAGATGAAGAAGAGTCATGCATCGTCATTTTGACAGCAAGTTGAAATATGAAGTTTCTTTTGAGGAGGTATTTGGAACATTGAATTTTGTACCAATTTTTTCTTGAAAGATACGGATTGTAGAAATTAGTAAATTTCCAATGAGATCCAACGAATATTCAATTTTTTCGCTCATATACAACTTTGACCAAATTCGTTTTCAATTCTTTCATGAGCAAAGTGGACCGCACGTTTTGCACTATGATAAGTGTGACACACTCATATCTCAGTGATCCCTTATCCGTTCCAAAAGTTCTTGGGCTCGTTAGAACGAGTGTGTCGAGTTCTTTCCAACAAGATCCTAAGTATCTCAAGGCGTTATGAATTGAGAAAGTTATGAGAGATCTACCGTTGAAGGCGCTCAAAGCGGGTCGTGCAGCATGAACCGCTCGTTCCATCCCAAGCGTCCGATTGTGGCCTAAGCCCAAAACCCCTTGACTGCCCTCGATCCTCTTTTTACTCTGGTTTTGCGTACCTATTACTATTTACAGCTGCTACCGCGGTACTTACTATTCAAAAATGTTTTAGTTCCGACGAAAAACAAAAAGTGGGTTACCATATGCTCCCCTCCTCAATTGTGAGCGACCTCGCGAACAGTTTAGAAATGATATTTCGAATTGGAGTTCACTTAGGTGCCCAACAACTGTAATGACAGATCTGGCAATTGTCTTTTAAGTGGTGTAGGGATCTCTTATCCCTGTCTTTGGAATTCAGTCTAACATAGTTTGAAACCGCTCAGTGTAGTCACAAAAATTTTTCTTCTTTCCTCTTTGAAGATTTTGAAGCTTGGACAGGATTCGGATGTAATAGCCAAGCTCTTGATCTGTGCAACAACTTCGCGCATCGTTTAGAGTAAGTGTCAATCTCGTCAAGTGCTCTGTTTTTGTGATTGAACCAACTCCAGACCTTCTTGCGCAAGAAATTAGAAAAAAAACGCAGCCTATCACCATCGCACTCTTCTTTGTTGGTGATAGCAATCGATATTCATCGTGCATCTCTGCACACGTACTCTTGTGTTGGCGCTCTATCCCCGGCAGCGGCGCCAAAAAGATGTTGTCGGCTTCTTATGTAATAACCCATCAAAGGTTAAAACTGCAGTATAGCAGCAAAAAGGTCAAACCCACAGGGATAGAGGCAACACACAGAGTACAAAGTGTCACGTTTAACAGACTATTGAAGAGTTTGAATTCTCAAGCGACTGTCACTCCTAGAAATACTGCAAGTGCTCAACTCGGAGGTCACTCGGAGGACGCACAATGCAGCGTAGTTCACACCAACACACACCTGAAACTAGGAAAGCACAACTAAGAGGTCAATTAGGACCTCCACTCAAGGTTCAGGGGGAAAGTCTCTCAAGAGTACATTCAGCGGATCTGCATGTAGTGTTTCCCAACTCCAGATTGTTAACTCTGACTTCTAGAGCAAAGCACCCGAGTTGGACTTCCTACTTCGGATGCGGTACCTTCGTCAAACCGAAGTCACTCACACGCGGTGAACAACACACTCAACTCACAAAACGCGCGGAGAATACAAGTCTGAACTGAGAAACTCAACTGAAAAAAGATCGAGTGTCATACCATAACCGTCTATTGACGAGTTTGAATTCTCAAGCACTAGTCATTCCAAGAAAATACTGCAGAGGCTAGCCCCGAGGGCGTCTTCTACAGCGTAACCTGAATTACAACCAAAGCTTACTCGAAGTAACAAAACTTCACTTTGGCATTCAGGGGAAAAATCCCGAAGATGTACAAACAGGACCCGTCACCCGAAGGTGTAAGGACGAACTGCTCAAGTATCTAACCAGTTACTAACTCTGAGCATTCAGCAATCATCCGCTGTAATAACCCACTAAAGGCTAAAACTGCAATATAGTGGTAGAAAGGTCGAACCCACAAGGACAGAGGGACACAGGGTACAAAGTGTCACATTTAACAAACTATTGAGGAGTTTGAATCTCAGGCGACTGTCACTCCCAGAAATACTGCAAGTGTCCACTCGGAGCTCACTCGGAGGTCGCACAGTGCAGCGTAACACACACACACCTGAAACTACAGAAACACAACCCAGAGATCCGTTAGGACCTCTACTCAAGATTTCAGGGGGGAAAATCTCTTACGAGCTCTCAGCAAAGCTGCGGGTAGTGACTCCCAACTCCGGCTTTTACAACCCGTCCACTAGCTTTCTACTAGTGTGGGAAATCCGGATTGGACTACCTACTTCGGATCGAAGTCACTCATACGCGGTGAACAACACTCGCAACTCACAAAACGCGCAGAGAACACAGGTCCGCACGGAAGTACTCACTGAGAAACAGTCCAGTAACACACCATAACAGTTTTTTGAAGAGTTTGAATTCTTAGACACTTGTCATTCCCAAATATACTACAGGGGTTACCCTGAAGGCACCTGCTGCAGCGTAACCTGAATTTACAACCA